AAGGAAAGGGGGAGAAGAAAAGACCATGCAAAATTAGTTGAGGCAAGGGCTGAGGTAATCCCCAACACTGGGCCCCAGTCTCCGTCTCCTAAGCCCCCTGCGACAACGACGACCAAGGGAAAAGGGGGAAAGTAGCCGCAATAGGAATAAAAACATTAGTAAATTCAGCACTGACTGATCTTATTTCCCTTTTCTACTTTTCATACCTTTGCTGATATTAATAGTGTTTTGAATAACAGTTGTATAATCACTATCACTGCAATTACATGATAGTCTCAGTGATAAAGCACTTGACTTTCCAATTACCGGCTCTTGGGTCTGTGCTTAGCCCCACCCCCCCGCCCCCCAGTTGAGTTTTGGCAGTCATTGCAAGTTAAAATTTAGATCTGGCTGCTCTATCACATCATACATCTGTTTAATAGGTATGTTCCTCGTAGGTTATGCCCCAAAAGGGTTGTGGGACCAATTCTGATAGTTATAATGATTATACTGACTATTATATAGGCAGTAATAAGTGATGATCATGAAAATGACAAGACAGTTTGATAGTAATATGCATAATCAAATACCAGTGACAGAGAACGTGTAAATAGTACATAAAATTTCATAGAATTTCCAACCCACAATCATGCTATGGCAGTCATTGAATTTTTATCTGGATTTTTTTGAATTACTTACATTCTTAGAAGTGTTTGGTCACATTTAACAATAGGTCCTTTCCATAGCCTAAAGAAGCTAATGTAGGCCTATGATTGAGGTTGAATGTAAAAATTTACTGATAAATCACAACACAACACTGACAAAACGGATCCAGTATGAAATAGAAGAAACTTTCACTCGAAAACACACGTGGTTAGCCTCACAAGACACTTTTTTCAAAATATAAAGCCAAGGAAGCCAGTTGGAAAGAAAAAGAAAAAAACATTTAATCCTCTGCCAATGGGCATGCGTCCACTGTGAGTTTACTTGTTTCATTGTTTTATAGCACAGATGGCTACATTTGTACTAAGTCACCAATGAGCCAATTACGAGTACTGCCTGTCTCGCCCATTTACCCTTTTCTTTGATCTATGAAAATATTTTACATTATTTTATTTTGCTGTTACTAAATTTTATAACATTATTTTAATTATAATTTCTATAATATAAAATAACACATTTTTCCGCCAATCCAAGGAAAGGTGAAATTAGGTAAGGTCACAAGGTCTACTAATTGACTCCTTTGTGGCTAAGTACTAGCAGAGCCATCTATGTGCAGAGACATTTCACAAAAATATAAAAAATGAGCACAGCATTTTCCCCCTTTTTCATTGATTTTCCTCGGCGGCATGTGGTTAACATGATCTCTCAGGACTGCATGAAATTCATCATCCATTTAAAACTTGGATTTCTGTTTTCCATTTTGGTTATGAAATAATTTATGGAGCCTGCTGTCCATGCCTGCAAATCGCACCACACCGAAAAACAGAAACATTTTATAAAAAATTACTTTATTAAGGTTTTATATACAAAATCCCTAGGAGAATACACAGTATTTCAGGGAAAACCATCCAGAATCTGCTCCCCTGTATAATTAATAGTTTAATCTAACTAATATTCCATACTGCTAAAAAATGAAGCCTAAATATAAAAACATGACATTCATTGATGACTAAATATTTTGCCATAAATATCTAATCAAAATGTACATTTCACAGATTTTAAAAATTCCTGTCATTGTCTTTTGTACCACTATTCAAAAGTATAATACAATTGGTGAAGGAAAAGGGTACATACCCTTTCTATGTTACACGATTAAACAAGGAATCTGCAACTGAATTCATTAAAAAAAATAATAATAACAACGACAATAATAATTACAATATAAACCCCCATTTCGTTTCTGAAGTTCAACAAACCCAATCATCTCTCCCTTCATAATGACAAAATAAATACCGTAAAAATAATTTTAAAAATATCCCACACATTTTCTGCAAACCCCCCACCCCCCCAAAAAAAAAGAGTCCACAGTAGCCTTTCTAAACTGCCGCAGCTTTCTGCTCACATCTTCAGCACGAACCCCGGGCCGCTGGAATTCGCTCCTCCCAGGAAGAATCCTCTGGCCGCTAGCTCTTCAGTCTCGTCGACCTGTGTTAATTGAAAGACGAGGTATTTTCATGAACGATCATTACAGTCTATACTAATTATCTATCAGTCAGTAGGATTAATTAGCATTATTCACAAAGAAGCATAATCATTTACTACTAGATCTCCAAGGGTTGCAAATATGTAAGTAAAGCAACCAAAATATTATGAAACTAGTACAATTAGATACTATAAAATACTAACAAAAATTCATATATATTGCACAACTACACCAATATACCTGAAATATGCTGCAGTGGCAATGCTCCACACTCACTGAAAGTAGTTACTTGTTTAAAGTACATTCACTGTTCTCATGACTCTTTTGTGTTTAAAAACTCTTCTTATGCCATGACATAAAACTCAGCCCCGAATT